ACTACTTTTTGTTAAGTCAGAGGAATATTCTTTGCAGACAGGTACTAGAGTATGTAGATAAGTGTCATCTGGAGGATTCTGGAAACTGGAAAAGTAGTGTTACCTATAGAAGCTGTCTTCCTATCCATATGATAAATCAGCCATTGCTTGGAATTATGGGCATATGATACTACAAAGAAAGTTAAGAAAGTCGCTGTGACATGGGTTCATCTATAAACCTCTTCTCTGTAGTAATCTAGGAAGTGGCCAGTAACCATGCTGCTCGACACTCACTGTTGACTGGTATGTGTGTTTTGCGGATTTTGCCAAGTTGTGCAGTTGATTTGTGAGCTCCTGCAGTGGGATTTTGACAGAAAGTACTGTTGACCTGTACATACTTCTTGTGGCCCTTCCCACAGTAGTAAGTTGCCATTAACCCCATGCTTATCTGCTAGTCATTCTAGTTATCCTTAGGATAACTTATTTATCATGAAAGCCATCCCTAGATATTTTTTCACTCCATTGGAAGCCTGCTACACTTCCCCAACACACCTGTATTCTGGATGAGAGAAGATTTAATAAAACTAGTCTTCAAAATTGTCATGACTTGGACTGGGGATTTACCTCAGTGGTGGTTCTACCACCTGCCTTGCAACTGCAAGGTCCCAAGTTTGATCCCCGGTACAAAAAAAAAAAATTCTGTGTCCAAATTGTCATGACTTTACTATCATCGTGACTATATCTGCAGAACTTATTTTCACTAGTGCTCACTAAGTTTAGAATACAAAGAATATAATTTCTGCATTTGTTCAAGAAAAAATTTTAGTTGAGAATTCGCACATTATAGTCTTTGTAATATGAAATGATCAACAGAATATGAAACTATCTGATAAAGCATGAGATTTGTTGCAGAGTACAGTATCAACTTAATTTTTTTCAAGAAATCAAATTAACATATTTGTATTAAAAACTGCTAATGGAGACCAACAAGGTGTTTTCTGGTTGAACATCAGCTTTCCTTAGGAACAAAGTAGTATTACAGAAGCAATTTTTAGCAGTAGCTTTTAAAAGCCTATTATCCATTGAAAAATGAATTGAATTATTGGAAAATGTCATGCGTTCCCAGAACAACTGAGCACAAATGCATTTATCTCCAACTTCCTGTATAATTACCCACAAAAATAGATTTTTAACGCATAGACAAGTTCTTGTCCATATGTTCTACTTAATGACTAATTGAATTTTTAAAAGTTTTAAAATTTACTTTTGAAAGTTTATGTTTTTGATTGAAAAATAATTGTAAATATTTATAGGGTTCAATGTTATTTTTTTTGGTATTCATATACAATGCAGTGTGATTAAATCAAGTTAATTAACATTACTCACTTATTTTTGATTCCAAGATATTTATAGCTTTAAAAGAGCATTTGATGAAGGTGTGGAACAGAAAGAACCTTCATATTCTCTTGGTATTATAAATAAGCACAATCAGCAGGCATGGTGATGCATACCTGTAATCCTAGCACTCAGGAGGCTGACACAGAAGAATCACTGCAAGTTTGAAGCCAGCCTGGGCTGCAGGGGGAGTTCAAAGTCAGCCTGAGCAACACAGTGAGACCCTCTCTCAATGAGTAAATAAGTAGATAAGCGAACAAACAAAGTCAGCCATTGTCAAGTGGATAGAGGACATTTGCTAGGTCTGACACAGCATGCCTTGGATTACCAGAAAAAATGGGGTTTTTTTTCAGACCAATTATCAATTTATATGGAATTTGTAATAAGATAAATAAGCTTTTATCCCATTAGATCAGGACACAGAACAGCCCTGATGAATAGTTTTTGTCATGGAATAGAGATTTATTTCAAAATTTTATTTTTCTTCTAAAACTGGGAACTACTCAGGCTCAACATATGTGAGTGTATGTAGAGGTGAGCATCATTTTTGACAAACAGGAGATCAGTGTAATAAACAGAGACCTTCACATATGAGTGGTTTAGGACCAAGTGAAATAGGATATTCCAGTGAATAAAGTAATTCCAAAGGTACAGAATCCTTATCTCATTTTTAGTCATATTAAACAGCCATAACTTTGAATGGTGGCTTGCAAAATGTATAAAATAAGTTTTTAAATATAACATATAAAAGCAAGTTTTTAAATATAATAATGTTTCTCAGTGTAGAGGGAGAAAGGATACCAGTTTTCATAAACCGTGTAGACAAACTACTGGCAAATTGTAAAACCTTTCATATATTCCTCCTGAGAGAAATGAGAGTCGTTCTAGTGGATGATATGCAGCAATTGTCTCAGTGTTTTTATTTCCTCTAGAGTGAAATAGACATTTGATTAGCATAGGTGTTTGGGGGCACAATATATCCTAATCGTACGGAGCAAATACAGCTATAGAAATATGATTTAGGTTTGAAAAAAGAATACAAATGTTCACTTCATACTTCCAAATTGGTTGTTTTTCTATTTTTTTGATACTGACTCTATGAGCAGAAAATAAAATAGAAAGCTTTGCTGAGAGAGGAAAGGTATCAACCTGCCAATAGAAAAATATGTTTGGCTGCTTCATGGGAGAGAATAGAACCCCAGTTTTCCATGGGTGACAGAGAGTGAACATGGCTGCATTACCCAGTGCTGAGGAGGGACTGGGGGCCAGTGAAGAGGCAGAATAAAGCCAGCCTGGAGCCTTTCCTCTGTGTGGCTGAGTCAGCTGAGACTAAAGTCACAGTGAGCTGTGCCACTTGGAGCTTGTTTCTTTTTACTGCTTTAAAAATCTTTAAGAATCTTTGGTGTCAGTTAAGCCAACCTTTGTGCAAAGCAATCCACTAATCATACAGAAACCACTCCGTTTGTGGTTTCCTTTGCTCTGCAGAAGCTTTTTAATTTGACGTGATCTCAGTTGTTGATTCTTGGCTTGTTCTCTTGTGTATCTGGGGCTTTGTTCAGAAATTGCCCACATCCATATCTTCAAACTTTTTATCAGCAGATTGTTCCTGTAGTGTTCATATCTTTGATCCATTTTCATTTTAGTGGTATTTATGAAGAATAATAAGTTTGAGTCATTTGTAAGATAATGATGGCACTTTGAGATCATAGTGTTAAGAAAAGTAACACAGATACAGATTTAAACATTAAAAATAAAATTATCTGAAAAGGAAAAAAAAAGACAAAATGAGAAAAACAGGATAAAATAAAAAAGACAAAATAAAAGTAGACTTTGATGATATTAATTTTTTTAAACGTCAAAGAAGGGAACGGGAGAAAAGGACTGAGAGGGTATGTGAAAGGGCAAAGACAAAGGTGAAATAAACAAGAATTATAAATGGAAATTGAAAAAGCCTTTATGGAGATTGTGTCTAACTAATAAATTACTAGGAATCCAATGTTAGGAGGCCTAAACAATGGCTTTCAGTGAGGGTAAAACTCAGTGTCAGAGCTACGGAAAAAAAACAAAAATTAGGACACACACAGTTGCTCATAGACATAGGGTCCTCCCATACACTCTAAAAGGGAAAATTGCAATTTATGACAGCTTTATGTGTAAGAAAAGACAGGAGAGGGAAGGGAAACTTGGAAGGGTGAGAGAGGGAAACTAAGAAGAGAGAAGGGAAGGGGAAAAGGGCACAGGGAGCAGCAGCACGGGGAGACTAAGGGCGAGCAATAACCTTAAAAGATGCACTGATTTCACAAACCTATGAAAGAAAATTGTGATGAGGAAAAAATACGAGAAAAGAAGGAAAAATGGAAACAGAGTTTGTAAAGAGGGAGGGGAGGAGGGGTGGAAGAGGGCAGGGGAAGGGGAAGAAGGAGAAACAAGATGCATTGTGCACAGGAGCAAATTCCCAGTGATGAATGCGATCACAGTATGTACCTAAAGTGCGCCAGTAAACTTAGTGGAAAACAAAAGTGTGACACAAGAGCTTCTGATGTGGTAAAATGCTGCAGTCTTCTGATTAATCTAAGTAGTATGTGTACAGAGGAGAAGAAAAGATAGAAAAGGAAAGGGAAAAAAGATATAGGGGCAAGGGGACGAGAGACAGGAAAAGGTGTTTAAGGGGGAAAATGAAGGCAGAGAAAGGATGCAATTGTAAATGAAAGGTGAGAGGGGACCGCATCCAGTGGTTGAACCGACAATCAATCCATGTTCGATCCCACCAGGAAAATACAACGACCCATGCAGGCGTAGGTAAATAAACAACATGGAATGTTACATAAACAACAGGAAATTATACACGTAGCTATATTTGTGCACTAAAATACACAAAGGCCTACCAACTCAAAACCAAATAAGAAAACGAAGAAGACAATTATCTTGCTTTCCCCCTCAATTGGCTGTGTCATCTCTTATCTTCTAGGCCCCATGCTCTGGAGTCTCTGGGGTTCTCAGGATGCTCACCATGCCCTGCATCTATCCGTCTGTGGGGCGTCCACTTCAGGTTTCCTGGTGTTGTTACTGTCGTGGGCTCTGCTGTTTGCTCCTTCCTCCTCCCTCACTCAGACAGCAGCATTCTCTGTTTATAGCTGCGTCCCTGCTCCTTCAAGACTGGCTGGCAACTTTATCGGTCCCTGGGGCTCAGCCAGGAGGCAATACTCCTGCTCCCATGCTTCTTTCTCAGTCTTACTCCACCCACTGTAGCAGGTCACAACTATCCCCTCGCCAAGTTTTTATCTGATTTGCAAATCCAGTGGCTTCTGAGGGTTAGCAGGAAAGTGCCTCCACAGGGGAAGGCTCTGAGTGTTTTCTCTACCTGTAGGGACCTCGTGTCCCCGTTATTCAGCTTCTCACCCTCTGTCTTTCCAGTCTGCCAAGTCAGTGAAGTTTGGGATTGCAGCACAGGTGCCTGCTCCAGACTCTTTTCTCCACTCCCTAATTCCACAGGTCACTACTCCTGTCAGCCTCAGCCTTTTGCACTGTCTTACCAATCCCATGTGCCTGGCTTTTGGTGTCTCGCCAGGACCTTGGCCTTTGCCCCTCTCTTCCTAGGGGTCATAGGTCTTATCCCAGCCATTGCACTTTGAGTGACTAGCACTTTTTCACTGTGCTCTGTTCTATGGACCTGCTCTCTGGCACATACCTCACTCACTGAGCCATCTTGCTGCAGAAAAAGAGCTAAGCTTGGTGAGTATTGGGTGGTGACAGCTAAACTGGGCACTGGTCTGCAGCTGCCACGCTAGGCTTCTTCCCTCAGAGAGAACTGAACTTTGTTTCCCAAGATAGCACATTCACCAGACCTGGGCTGTAAGCAGCCCTGGAACAGAGAAGGAGCTCTGCTTCTTATTCTAAATACTCCTGTTAATGGAGTTCATCTGTCAGCCTTCTCTTCAAGTTTCTTTTTCTTGGCTTACCTTTTGTTCAACCTCTATACCAGTTGGTGAAACCCTGGCAACCCCCGAGACCAGCTCTCTCTGGTTGGCCATGATGGAATTCTCTGCTACTGTATTCTTAGTAGTATAGAGTGAATACTTACTCTCCATTAAAAGCAGCTGTGCAATTGACTGAGCATACAGAGGGATTTTCTTTTTCAAGACAACTTAAAAGCCATAGATAACATACTAACAATTTCAAATATTAAACATCTACTAGGTGATAAACACAACTTTAGTGTCATCCTAATACATATATGTATCTTCATGTTAAAATTTAAAATTTAGTAATAAATTTTTCCTAAAATTTTACTTTATCTTATGGGCTTTTTTAGGGTAGAAGATTTTATTTCTTCCATTTCTTGACACTACTCATGACTATGTGGCCTAGAACTTTCTCATTCCCTAGGTCACTCAGATAGATAGCTACGGAGATATAGAGAAAGATAGGTTATATATACATAGACTAAAACCACCTAGGTGTCAAAAAGTCAAATGTATTTTTGCAAAGCAGGATTATGCTCTGCTATTTTGCTATGCTCTGCTATTGTGTCATAAGACATGGGATTTGCCATTCTTTGGGAATATGCATCTTAATCACTTATGAGTCCAATTATTTAAATACAGGATGACCAAATATTGTATTTTTCATTAATTTTATAAGATAACAGGAAGTATAAAGGTGATAATTTTATCAAATTTATTCAGTTTAAGTATTGACTGACAGACATGCTACCTACCTTAGTAATCCTTGGGGTAAACTGTTAGGCGGTTAATAAAGATAGGTTTGTTTTTTTTACAGTTAAAAAAAGAATCCTTTTATTAGTCATAGCATATATAAATGATCTTATGCAATAGATAATCACAGTTTAACACACTCTGAGCAAAGACAATAGCACAAAATCAGCATATGCTTACCTTTAAATGTAGCATAAACGTTTAATAGGAAGTTAATATTGTGGGTGTAAACACAAGCTATTAAACATTTATCTACCAGAAAAATACATACTCTAAATCAGCCTCTAGCTACATTAAAAAAAACAATTAAGAATTACATTTTTAGTATTAACTATTAATGTTTTCCTACCCAAATACCAAAGAAAGCTTTTATTTTTGACTAATCATTATGACACAGGCTTAAAGCCTGAAAAAACTGCCTGAAAATGTGAAAATAGTATATGAAAAAGGCAATAAATTAAAACTCCTGATATAGCTTTTAATTTGTTGCATTTTTAATAATTTGCTGTGAGCAAGAATAAGGTGATAAAGGTTTTGGATTTGCATAAATGTAATTTTACTTTATTAAAATAAAATTAATGTGGTATTTCAGTGTATTTGAAAGTTCACAAGAAAACCAACTAAACCAATATGCTAAAACAGCAAAATAAAACTTTTGATTTATCATAGGCAGTAGCTTTTTTATTTAAGTTAAATTTATTATTTGACTGATACACAACAAAATTGTTCATGTAGCAAGTAATATTTTGATATATATCACAAATGTGTGTTTGAATTGGTTTAAACATGTATCTCTTTAAACATTTATTGCTCTATGGGGAAAACTTTTAGTATATTTTCTTCTAACTTTTTGAAATATAAATTATGTTATTGTCACCTGTGGTCATCATACTGTGAAATAACACATCTGAAGTTTTTGAACCTCTCTATGACTTAATAACTATCAAATTTTCACTGTGCTTCCCTTTCTCCTACTCCCCATGTAGTTAAGCCATTGAGAATAAATCAGGCCTCCTACAGAATAATCTTTCTAGGGAAGTTAGTCTGAAGAAACTAGGGGTGTAACATTGGCTTTGAAGAAATCAATACAGTTGGCTTGCCAAGAGTATTACAAAGTCCTGTGTAAGAGAGGTGTATCTAGTGTTAAGTTTAAATAATTATTTGTCATTGTTTTTATGATTCACGATATTAAAACTGAACTGTTAATAATTGGGATCTTTGTTTTTGTGTGTGTGTTGCTACCAATGTCTCTTGGTGCTGCTCCCTGTCTCCCAAGTTACAGCTTCCTCCCCTACTCGCAGGGTGTTATGACCACACTCCCTACCCCTCCTGAAAAGAAAAAGAAGATTCAAGATAAGCATAAGAAACTGTTCCTTTCAGGGGAACATGCATCCCTGGGATGATAAAAAAAAACTAAAATTAATAATACTGACAGAAATGTTCAAGTCAAAGCAAATCTGAAGTAATTTTTTGGTCACTCATAAGATATTGCAATAATTGTTGAATATCAGTGTTGTGTGATTCTACAGAAGACATTCATTTTGTCACTACGAACAAAATTAGAGATTAATAATTGTGGTGGCCAGTAATAATGCAATTAGAAGTCCAATGAGAATCTTTTTGATAATACAGTGAATTTTTTGGGAAAGCCTATCAGTCTTCTAAAAATGGTAATAGAACATACACAATGTACTATTTGTGGGCTGGGGATTTAGCTCAGTGATTGCAGCACCTGCTTCCCAAGCACAAGGACCCAAGTTCAATTCCTGATATATTAAAAAAAAAAAAGTAATGTGCTATTTGTAAATCCTCACCCATTTATTTGAAAATATATGACACATTAAGTAATAAGTTGATTATAATTGCACTGATTAAAAGTCGAAGACAGATGTCTATATGTGATTTTTTAAATGTTTTTTCTTTGAATACTTTTGGGTACTCTCTCATTTGCTCCTCATTTTTTGCCTTAAAAGATAGACACCCTTATTTTCTTCTTGGGGAAAATTGAACTTACACTGAAGGTATCTGGAAAAGATTTGTGATCTTAGACAAGTCAACTAGAAAGAACAATGACTAATTATTATTATGCTTTGGAATAAGTAGAGCACAGGGGTCTAACTAGAATCTGTGTCTGGTGGACTACTTTGTTCTTCTCTCTCTGTTATATGAATATTCAATTGTTAATCCTATTTCATGTGCTAAGAGGTCACTGAGTCAACTCCTGAGACCCTCTGCAGAGCTGGTGCTGTCATTTTAAATTTTCCCGCTTATGAATTGGGCCATTCAGCTTGCAAGTGCTGCGCTGTCCTGTAGAAAGTGTTCGTTAAGAAACTGGTAAAATGGGTCCAGGATTTAGCTCAGTGGTTCCACCATCTGCTTCCCAAGTGCAAGGTCTCGAGTTCGATCCCTGATACAAAAACAAACAAACAAACAAGAAGACTGGTAAAAGCATCACATACAGGAGATTAATATGGTTTCTCTAATATGAGAAACTAAAGATATGAAAAAATTGAAGAAGCAAAAAAGAGAGAGATGATAGGAAATAGGGAGGTGGACTCCATGGAGATGGGAAGGATCTGGGGAAGGAAGGAGAGGAGAGTGCGTGGGTGGGGTAGTAAATATGATTAAAATGCAATATGTGTGTGAACGGATGCCCCAGGGGGAATGTCGCTCTTAGCTATCACAGACATATACTCATTAAAACAAAACAGAAAAGCCAAAACAAGAACCTTGCTAACGAGATGGTGGCACACACTTGAAATTGCAGCACTCCGCAGGGCTGAGGCAATGTGAAAGACCAGCCTGGAAAATTTAGTGACTTAGCAGTACTATCTCAAAATCAAAAATGAAAAAGGTCTGCAGATGCTCCTCAATGCAGGCAGGCTTCAGTCTCCAGTACTACAAAAATGAAAGAAAGAGAAGGAAGGAAGGGAGGGAGGGAGGATAGAAAACTCTGGTGGAGTGTAATCTAAGGCCTTTTAATTACTGATGCTAGCTTAATTTGTCACATTAAACAAAAGTCATGGGTGATAATTCCTATTCTACCTGAAATGCCTTTCTGTTCTAGCTATGCATATCCAAACCATTTCTTTCCTTTAACATCCAGATCAGACATTAACCCTCCCATAAAATCATCCCTGACATTCTGTGCTAAACGTAACTGATCATTTTTTAATTAAAAGTTTTGTTGAGACAGAGTCTCGCTATATAATTCAGGCTGGCCTTGATCTCACTCTGTAGGCCTGGCTGGTCTCAAACTCACAACTGCACTCCTGCCTCAGCCTGGCAAGTGCTGAGACTACTGGCATGTCCCACCACACCGGGCAGGATTACTGTTTTGAATAAAATCTCCCTTTACCTATCTAAGCACTTTAAAATTTATTCTTTTATTTTTTAAACTTGAGGTTGGTGCTTCAGAAAGGAACAAAATATGATTTTTTTTTCAGAAATTACTTTAAATTTATACGTTCCAGAGGTTATATCAGAATTTGGGGTGAGGTAGAAGAAATACAGGATTTGCACAGGCTGTCACCTTTTTGTAACTGTCCATTCCACTGTCCCCATATTTAACACATGCTTTGTTACTAGTGTTCACCTCTGATATAGCTTCATTTCCTTTTAATCTCTGATACATTTTTTGCCTAGGGTTTCACCAGCAAGTAATTGTGTAATAACTGAATAAAATAATATTCAAGAGACAACAAAAACTGAATGGCTAGTCTGGAAGGCATATATTATACCTTTGAATATCCTCAGTTTTCTGCCTCCTTTTCTTACTATTTATCATCAAAACTTCAGATAGAATTTTGTTTTAGTTAAATTTCAATAGCAATGGCAGCCCTAAACTTGTGCTCCCTGTCTCTTTTTTTTCTTTCTTTCTTTTTATTGAGTTTATTGGTACATTCTAGGTACACAGTACAGTTACATTCATTACTGGGATCATGTACCTTCACATGACAGGTCTTGGTTCTCATTTTTTCCCCTTGTCCCTGCCCTCCCTTCACCCCCTCTTTCCCT